GGTCACACTTTACATTAGGGCTTCATTAGTTAACATTAGTTAATTCAGTTAACAAACTGCCAATGAAAAATTCTTCTGAACATTCATTAATCTTAGGTATTCCAATATTTAATAACACGTTGTTAAAATCGAAAGTTGCAACTGTGTTATTTAATGAGCTAACATGAACTAAGACTTGTATTTTTTAAACAAAGATTAATAACTTCTGTAGCAAATGTAGCTATTGCTCATTGTGAATGTTAATGCATTAACTAAGGTTAACTAATGAGGTCTTATTGTAAAGGGTTCTTTTGCACTTTAATCTGTGTAAAACTTTTAACTTTATACATTTTTTCTGTATTGCTTTATTGCATTGAAATGTTCAGTTATTTTTGTTATAAGAAAAAAGTTATTAAACCTGTTATACTGTATTATGACAGCACTTTTTTAAACAAAATTTCAATATCGTGATAATACCGTATACCGTAATAAAAGCATTAGCAATTCATCGCAACATGAAAATTTGATACCGGCATATCCCTACACACACTATATTACACTCACTCAGATCCTTCTCAAACTGCTGAGTATTGTTTAGCGCATATCACTCTTCTAGCGATAGCTGCATTACGGAGCCATTCCTAGTTCCTGGTCCTAGTTCCCAGTTCTAGTTCTAGTCTTAGTCTAGCCACTTCATGTTGCCTTGTTGTCTGTTTCCTGTGTTTCTTGGATTAACCCTTTGTCTTGCTGTTTTGGACTGTGTTTGCACCTCGCCTGGACTATTATTGCTCGTGTTATTGGAGTACCCCTCTTGTCGATCGAAGACCCACGCTAGGCCTAGGAATATTCTTTGTCTTGGCTGTGATATACCTGTGTTATCTGACCCTTGCCTGTTTATTGATCACGCCTTTGGTGGTAAATAACGTCTCGTTCGCCCCGTAACAGTGAGAGTTGTAACATTTTTTCAGTGTTCTTTGGTGCATGTAAAGTTCAAAAGAAGAGCATTTATTTGGAATAGAAATCTTTTGTAACACAGCAAAGCTCAAACGAACCTTTCAACTGAGGAATAGGACACAGGATAAGAAAGTTCAACACTCATCAGCAATAAAAAAGAAAAAGAAAAAAGAAAAAAATGCATTTTTGCTTAATATGTTTTAAATGGATCATCGAAGGTCAGCAGCAAAGACATTGGCTAATAAAATGGGATTAAATATATAAAGGATATTTGTATTATTTAACTTATTTAATTATTGCAGGTTTGCACCATATTCTGAGTTTGCATTTCATGGTTTTTATTCATTTTGAGTAATACTGAATCTGTTTTTGTGCAAATGAGATGAGCAAATGCGTTTTCACATTTATTCTAGAACTACAGTAAACATCATGTTTACAAAGCGCTATAACGAAAATAAGCTCTGTGACCAAAAAAGTTTATTATACTTACACAATTTGTTCATCAAGATAATGTTTACAAATTAACACAACTTTTATGAATTTTGAAGCCTAAATACAATCAGCAGAAGTAAAAAGATAAAGATAGACTATAAACAAACTACACCACAGTCGCATGACTTCACCACCACAAAGCTTGTGACAACTCTTTCAGTCTTTATTTAAAATAGCCTATACACGTTGGAAAATTGGAGTTAGAATAGTTTGCAAGAGTGAGATAAGGCATTCAGTTTTAACCAAAAACCAGTTAAAAAAATATATTGACTTCAGGACAATGGAGTCGTAAGTACTAACTCATAAGTGCTAACTGCTAACTCGTTTTTAGGACTCATTTCTGCAGCACTCAGTAGTTTACTTTGTCTTCCAAACCTGGAAATGAGAAAAGGGACACAACATAAAGTCCATTTTCAAGTTCAATGTATTCTTTAGTTTATATACAGTTAAATGCAGAAGTCCTTCAGAGAAATGTGTCATGCAATGCCCCCAACCACGCATCTGCAAATTTCAGATTCAAAACTGTGGGGCGAGATTGTGTTTAATAATAGATTACAGTACATAGCCTATTATAATCGTGGAATTTATTTATTACATATTTTAATTAAAGTTAAAATATTTATTTTAACTTTAAATTTGAGCTAAAACAAAATCTGTGTAACACATCTAATTACACAAAAAAAATTGTGTAAAATAGTTTTTATTTATTTTTTTATTAGACTTTTTAGTAGCCAAACAGGCACTTTCCTGTCTTGTTTTGATGGTTGCTCTCTCTTTCTCGCTCTCTTGCTTTTACTTTAATTCCCTCATTCCATTTCTTCCACTCAATTCATCGCCACTCTTTTTTCTTTTTCCTCATTAGACCTTGATTTGGTCTGCTTTTGAATAGCGACATTGATGCACACGGCCTAATTGTTGAATGTGTTGGAACATGAATAGCACAGCTGACAGCCAATGGCAGATACGCATTAGAGCAGTGCTCCTTGTTCTCTAGAAGCCCTTGAATAGCATTGCCCTGCTTCATTGTTAGAAAGAATGAAAGCATTGCTGCTGGAAGCCGCACTGTTTATTTGCATGTTTTTGTTTATTTGTGGGAGTCTTAAACGACTTTCTGTGACATTGAAACTTATGTCTTAGACACTTACAGCAGTAGTTTGTGTAGTAAACTCAAAATCTATTACATTTATAAATTCAAACCACCCAAATTTCTTTGTTGAAAGGTTTATTTGATTATATGCAGGTTTTTATTACTCACAAATGAAGCAGAAGTTTGGAAAGTGAGTCTAGATAAAATGGTTCCGGTTGCTAGATGTTAGTGAATTGTCATTTGCTACCTTCTAGTGGTGATTGAATGTTTTGCATGTAAAAAGACATTGATGGAAGAAAATCATCATAATGCACAGTATAGAGATGCTTTGATTATTTAGGTCTATGAATAAGGAATTACTCGGTTTGCTAGGGATATAGCAAAGGTAAAATCCAGTATACCTGTACAATAGGCTTCTGTCTGTTAGGAGTTTATTCTGGAAGCATTTGCCTAATGACACTAGATGGAGCAATATCTTACAATATTAGCTTGGCCATAACACTTTTTGCAGACTGGTTCAATTAATGAGCACAAGTTACTTTTCCTTTTTTTAATAATAATAATAATAATAATCATAATTTTCTAATCAATAGAGTAAACAATCAACAACTGAATATATAAAAGTATAATCAGAGTTTCCCCTGTGACAACACTGGAGCATATTGGAGCATATTGTCACAAAAGGTCACCATATGTTCTCCCTTATAAAACTTGACTGGTCTTTTTGATTGACTGCTGTTTTTGCCATTCTAGATTCCCATGATGCAGTGCTGCGTTTCAATGCTGCACCCTGCAAGGGCTATGAAAGAGACGTGGGCAGCAAGACAACCATTCGAATCATGAACTCTCAGGTTAGGGTCATTTGCATTAATGCACACAGACACAAACCTTCACCCTCTGACTCATTCCCTGTCTCCGTGTCTCCCTGTGTGCAAGGACTAAATAGAGATGTTTTCTTCTCTTTTATCAGATTCTAGCAAACCCCAAACACAAATTCAACAGCAGTTTGCTCTATAAGAACATTACCTTGGTAGCCTGGGATCCTGCTCCTTATAACATTGACCTGCATAAGGTATGAAAGTTACATCATAGTAAATCAGTCAGAAGTGAAATACCATTCAACCCTGTTAAACTTTGCTTGTGTAGTTTTCTAGATAGTTTTCTTTCTTGAGATATATATTTGGCGAGGCAGAAGAAGGGTGACTTTGAAGGTATAGATGTGACATTATCAGCATACTGGCCATTAGAGGAATCATTTACAGTGATTAGATCTAGGGGTCACACTTGCAAAAAAAGATATCTCTGCCTCGTCAGCATCCCACAGCAGCTCCAACCTCGCATGTGATGTCATGTGGGGAAAAATTAATTCTTGCAAAATAGTACTTGTAATCAGTCTCATTAAAGCAGTTAACCCTTAACGCTGCATCTCACGATTAAAAAAAAACTTAATTATAGTAAAGAAAACTCCATAACAGCTGTAAAAAGTGAGTCACATTTCACAAAAACACTCTGCCATCCTTTAATCGTCTTGGGCCTTGATAATCCTCCAATGAAATAATCTTTATGGAACTGGCTCCCTGGTCATGACACGGCACTAACTTCTTTGCTCACACACTGCACTCTTCTTCACTCCTTCTCTCCATGTGTCCGTAATGCTAGAAACAGACTACTGTCATATTAAAAGTCTCCTGACCTGCAGACCTGTATGAATATACACCTACAGTATATACAGTTTTGGGCTAGTGACAAAAATAATAAATGTACACAAAGAAAAAATAAACTTAAAAGTGTTATTTTAAAATGATTTTATTATTAATATAATAATATATCATATAAAATTACACCAGGGTGACTTCCTGTTTCACATGAGTATAAATATGAGGGAACACAAAGGAACAAATTCCTTTAAAATGAGTAAAACCAAAGAATATTGTTCTAATGTGCAGCAATAGACTTTTGAGCTTAACAAATTAGAAAGGTACAGTAGGAAAAATACCTAAAGCATTGAACATTTCCATTTCCACCATCAGGGCAATTATTAAGAAGTTACAATCAACAGGAAATGTTACGAATTTGCCTGGATGGGGACGTTTGTATAAATTGTCTTAAAGCAAGGTGAGGAGGATAGTTTGAGTGGCCAAAGACTCTCCAAAGATCACAGCTGGAGAATTGCAGAAAATAGTCTTGGGGGGTCAAAACAAAAATCAGATAGCACCTACATAACCACAAGTTGTTTGGGAGGGTTTCAAGAAAAAAAAAATCCTAATCCAAAAACAAACTCCAGCATATTGAGCTGCCAGACATACTGGAACTTAAGATGGGACTGGGTTCTATATTGGTTCTTTGCTTTTTCCCATACATTTTCTGTCAATATGGGGTGCTGTGTGTACATTAATGAGGAAAAAAAAATTAACTTAAATGATTTTAGCAAATGGCTGCAATATAAAAAAGAGTGAAAAATTTAAGGGGGTCTGAATACTTTCCGTACCCACTGTATGTCCATGTATGGATTTCACAGATATAAAAATATATGTCAGATACTTGCACATACATGCAACATATATTTCAAAATAAAACAAAAATGTCCGTTTTCAAATATGTAACAAATATTTTCCAAAATACACACATATATGCCTATAGAATATATGTGAATATATGTGGCACATATATGCATATAGAACATTTAGCAGCAAACACTCAAGATGGGCTTGGTGCACAAAGGGATAAAAAAAAAAAGTATCCCATGACCACAGTTAAATATACTGCTGTATATTTAATGTTGTGGGCCTATTTTTCTGCTGGAGGTCCTGGACGTCTTGTTCTGATAGATGGCACGATGGATTCTATCAGATAACAACAGATAAAAAATCTAAATCTGACTGTCCCTGCTAGAAATGGGCCATGGATGGATCTTCCAGCATGACAATTATTTATTTTTTAGAAGAGGTGTATTCAAGTCATTACATTAATGAATTTGAATTTTTGAATGAATTTTGAATGAATTTTTAAATATATAAATAAATCAATACAAATTTAGCAGTATCTCACTGACCCTTTAATAAAACATGAAACAAAGCATAAGCCTAGTCCAAGTTTCAAATGCAAGTTTTAGCTATCTTAACTGCAAGCAACTTGCCCTGGCATATCTTTGCATTTGATTTGTATCACGATGTACACCAGTAATGGTTTTATTTATTTATTCATTTTGTAAGACACATTCAATATATATATATATATATATATATATATATATATATACTTAAATGTCCTAGTTAAACTAAGGCTTAATTTATGCCCTGTCTTTGAAACCAGGCCTATGTGCCTAAAGTGACTTTATAGTTAACATAATATTTTCCTGTTTTCTCAATACCCACAGTGGTACCAACATCCAGATTATGACCTGTTTACTCCATACATAAATCACAGGAACAATTTCCCCGAGCAGCCCTTTTATATCCTGCATCCTTCATTTATCTGGAAACTCTGGGATATTGTGCAAAGCAACACACTGGAGAACATTCAACCCAACCCTCCTTCCTCAGGATTTATAGGTATCAATACTCTTCATCATTAACACAAGCACATATATCTGTCCATTTTTTGATCCTTGCGCTCAGGAAAATTGTTGTGCCACATGTTGTGACGGTAATTTCTGAGAGATTTGCCATGCTGTGCAGTTGACGCACATATTCAACCCTAATTTAAGCGAGATCAAATGTTTCTCTGCCTACTTTTCCAGCGTATCTGCTGAATTACAAATGATAATCATGTCTGTTTGTATTCACTGTTCCTCTTGAATAAATTTTTGACTGAAGAGTGCAGGATGTGTGTGTGTGTGTGCGTGTGTGTGTGCAAATGCTGAAATGTGTTACTAGGTAATATCAATTTGATAGATGCAAGTTCGGGGGCATGACGGGATTATTTCAATCAGGCAGGGACTTCATGTGGAAAAAAGCAAACTCTCCATTACATTTCTAGAGGATACTTACCTTGCCGCAGGCCAATGGCTAACTGGCAACCTGAGTGCCCAGGGCAGCATAGAGCCAATAAATGTGCGTGCAAACACACACAACTCAACCAAAGTTTGTTTTTTTACATGTTTTGTTCATTATGATAATCTTAACAAATAAACACAACTTTTATGAATTTTGAAGCTTAAATGCAATTGGCAGAAGATTTCAATGTCACCACCATAGAGCATTGAACACCTTCAGTTTCTGAACACCTTCAACTCGTTTCCAGAGTGTGGCCTACAAAAATATGTCACCCTGGTGTGATCTATTCGAAGGCTACATCCTTCCTAATTCAGTCCATCTAAAGGCTTCTATGCTAAATTCCTCCTCAGTGTTAAATGCTAGAATGACACTGTTTAGTAAGTCTCATTAAAGTTTCCACACCCAAAGTCACAAAACAAAAATAATATTATAAAGTAATTTTGGTAAAAAGATTTATAATAAAAATCTTTATATTCTTTTATGAAATCTTTATATCATGCTATGGTTGATATGAGGAGACAAGGTATACTAGATAATAAATATTTGTTTGGGTGACTTCAATACAGTGACAGTACATCGCCACCTACAGGACTGGAGTGTGACATTCTGGATGGTGCACAGGAAAGCAATTATGTCTGCTATGATTTTACTGTACAAGTGTTTAAAGTGGTCATATGATGCGATTAAAATTGTTCCTTTCTCTTTGAAGTGTTACAATCTCTTGGTGCATAAAGAAGATCTGTAAAGTTGCAAAGACTAAAGTCTCAAATCCAAAGAGATATTCTTTATAAAAGTTAAGAGTCAACCACTCCTACCTATAAC